GGACTCCAGGTTGCTCTTCAAAATGCAGTTTATTGTATCCAAGAGGTTCCAGCAGGCCAGAGTGGTTGGACAACAGAGCCTGTGCCTTTGGTTACAATGCATTATATACTTTTCTTTGGTTATGTAGCATTATATACTTTTCTTTTGGTTACAATGCATTATGGACTTTGCTGAGCATCTTCATACAGTAGAACCAATCTATACCTTAACTATTATCTATAGCCTATCATAACTACTGTTATCATATTCATTTTACTATTTTCCAAGCACTAAAAGTTAGTACATTACAGATTAAGTTGTTTTTCAGTTTTCTTGCAGTGGAAAATTCTGAGACCTTTTTTCTACTTGCAACTTTGCTGACTTGTTTGCCTGTGCTATCTTTCTGCTTAGTAAAAACATCTTCTTAAAGTAGGTTTATCCTTTGCTGTAAGTCAGAAAAACCCCTTCTAACTAACACACCCTTTGCCTCCTTGGTTATCCAGTAAGACTGGCTCTGCAATTCTTTTCTTCTATATCAAAACTTGCTTCCAACTCTATTCCTTCATCAGACTCCACATTCAAAATCTTTCTGCTAAACACACATATCTGTGAGACTTCCTTGTCAAACTTTCATCCTTCCCAACACAACCCTGCGCTGCCCTTGTGATGGCAAAGCTGGCAGCACTGACCATTCAAAGTTGGTGATGTACTGGTAGTTGGACTGGCTGCAGATGTCAATGATTTTGGTCAGCAGCTCATCGCGGTACGTCGTCCCTTCGGCTTTATCCACGTGAATCATCAGCTTCTTCACAATCTCCATCAAGTTCTTCTTGGAGACCTGTTAAAGAGGTTTTGAGGGCTCAACCACTTTCCTACACAGCCAAGTCCTTCCAGTTAAACAGCTGCTGGCTCTTTGCTGGACTCATATAATGTTCACAAGAAACCAGAACCAACTCTGTGAGCCCCAATCCAAAAATGAACCTGCTGAATACTGTTCAGTGTTTTTGTTAAAGAAGAGTCAGTTCAAGTTATGAGGTGTTTCAGAAAAGACTGGATGTGGCCCTTAGTGCCAGGCCTGGCTGACAAATGGTCATAAGTTGGATTTTATGATCTCCAAGGCTTTTTCCAACCAAGCTGATTCTGTGATGACCTTCCCGTGGGAGAACTGAGGATCAGAATTTCTATCAGCAACACAGAAATCCAAGAGAAAGTGACTCTTCTACTGCCAGATTAGAAAGTTTAAGAGTTTAAAACATTTTTACTTATAAAGGAAACAAATTTAGGAGTCAGTAAAATCCAATGGAATTGATTTCAAAATGGGTGATTTCCATCAGGGCCTGAACTGAGAAACTCCATCCAGTCTGAATCAGAATTTTTAAAGTCCTCATGCTGAGCCAGATATTTTACTTGTCCTAAGTGCCAGAAAAGATAGAGAAGTTGTTATTAAAAGTCCTGCTGTGGAGTGGGCAGAGAAAGTTGCATGTTTTCCTTAAACATCACCTTCCTACAGGGTCAGTGGGGCTGTGAGGAAATAAATGCAGGAACATACCATGCCATAGAGGAGATCTAAAGCTCTGAGTCGGATGGACTCATCTTTGTCATCCAAACACTGGAGAATGAGATCCTTGTGAGACTGGACTGACTTGGGGTGCGTTTTCAGGATTTTGGACATAGCTAACAGGCCCAGGTACTTCACTGTGAAAGACAAAATAAAACTTCTTTCCAAATATAGAAATACTCTTTTGGGCTGAGCATGAAATCTTAAAGTTAAAAATTTCCCAGTATTCTCTGCAGTCACTAAAGTAAGTCAACACTCTTGCATTTTACTATTATGCTCACTCTGCTGCAAATAGCTGGCACTGCTTTCCAAGCAGCCAGTCCATAAAAACCAGAAATCCCAGAGCATGGAAAGAACTGGTTTAGATTTACAAGACCACAAACAGCAGTAATAATTGCTGTCATTTGTTTTTAAAAATATTATTATAAAGAAGTGCTCACCATCAAAAATTATTTCCATATTAAACCCCCCAGCAACTATTTACAGCACAGCACAACCCCTCTGAGGCTGCTGCAGCATCTCCCCAGGGCTTGGGGGCCAACAGCTCCATGAAGAAAGCACCATACTTACAGTTCTGGTCAGAATCTTCTATCAATATCCTCAACTTCTGCACACAAAGCTGGGAAAAAAAAAAAACACACTGTGTTTATTACAGCTCTTAATTAAAATAAGTCTTTGTGAAGTTTACTCAGTACACAAGGAAGTATCTGACCAAGACCTGAGGTCTCCAGGTGAGAGGGTTTTGTTGCATTAACAGACTTCCAAACACAAGGAACCTCTGTATGACTGTATTGATAGCAGGAAAAAAATAAAGAGCTGAGAAAACTCTCAAACTCTGCATTTTAGAGTGAATTAAGTAGGAAAATTTATATAGGGAATGCTTCAATCTGCAGGATTGCACAGTGAGAGCACTTCAGGGAGCTGCTGCTGTAACTGCTGGCAGAGGAACACAATCCCATTTTCCCTGGCCCTTGGGACCCCCCAGCAGAGCAGAACAAGCCCCAAACCCAGGGTCCCACCTGGATGCTGGCGCTGTGGTTGGGCATCCCCGAGGACAGAGAGATCAGAACTGAAACAGAAGCACAAATTCCAGTCAGAATTTCTGTGCTGGAGTGACTGCAGCAACACCACCCAACAGCCCACACCCAGCTCAGGGAAAGATTATTGCTTGTCTGTTTATTGCTAAATTATTGTTTGTCTGTTTGCCTGGACTTTTGGGGGTCTAGGGGAAGGAGAGAAGGTTGTGACAAACTTGTAATGTCATATACCATAACAGTAATAATAAGAGGGCAGGAAAAAAAGTGTAAAGGTAGAAAAAAGCTGCAACAGCCAGGTCAAAGCTGCTCCTTTTTGCTCTCACTAGGGATTATTTCACTGACATCACATAGCAGTCAAGGCTATTAATATATCAGCAGCTACTGTACAGCTGAATTTTTAATTGTGCACTTTCCTAATGCAATGGGATGCAGCAATGCATCCTGGAGTTTAATGTGATTAGATTGGAGCTTTAATCAAGCCAGCCATTGTCGATTATTTGGGACACCTGAAAGCTCTGGCAGCACACAGCCCCAGTGCAGCAAAGTGGGCTCACCCTGGTAACTGCTGCTGGCACAGCTGTGCCTGTGGGCACTGCCACCTCCAGAGCTGGCAGGTGCCAGGGGCTCCTCTGGCATTTCAGGGCTCATTTGGTGGCTCTGAGTTTGACATCACCATCCCTGAGGGGTCCTGGGTGGGTGAATTCCCCCTTACCCACAGGATGACCCCACTGGATCTCAGTGAAGGGCACTCTCACCCACAAATGAATTCCCCTCTGTGTTATTCTCACTTCCATCATGACACCTCATTCCCTGAAGGAATAACAGTGAGTGACAGATCTCTCTTCCCTCTCTGAACTGACCCAGCACAGCAAGTTCTGCACCATTATCCAAGGTATGTTCTGCACCATTATCCAAGGAACCCACAGGAGACAGACAGACGGACTGTGAATGTCAATGACCCTGTGCTCCACACTCTGACACTGCAGCCAAGCCTGAGCTGCAATACTGTGTTATCCCTTTTTGCCTTTGTTTTCTCTCACCCTCCCAGCTATGGAGTTCACATCCCTTCCCCAGAAACTGAAACTGCCAATCAGTAATTCCAACTGCCTCCTCTAAGGAATTACGCCCCATTTTTAAACTGCAAAGTTGCAAAATTAAAAAAAAAAAAATCTGATCCATCATCACATCAGAGAACTTGGCAAGGAGACATCACTTGTTTTCATTCTGCTGCTGGTACATTTTGTAGTTGTAGCAACATTTAGGATCTGGCATATAAATAATCTCATTGTCTGTACCTGCCTTCAGCAAACACAACACAGCTGTAGTGGCTGTGCCTCACCCACTGACAACAAAGGATTTCAGCCCCACACTAACACAATTTGCCAGGACTTATTGCATTTTAGAATACATTAAGTTAAAGAATAAAGCTTTACAGATGGTGTCAGTTGATAACAAAGTTCATCACGTTTTTTTTTCTAGGTTCCAAGTTTCAGTTCTCACCTGCTATTACTGTGTTCACACATTCATATAGGAGAGACATGGCTGAGGTGCTGAAACAGAAATCAGGTATATTAAATAAGGAATAAACCAGCACATTCTGAAGAGTTGTCAGCACTATCTTGGAGCTAGTTAGCACCCTGAACTTCACAAGACATTGTCAATATTCTGCTCCATATCCCTTCAAACAGATGAAATGATTCTCACTTAAACACTGTTGGGGGGAGGAATTTTTAAACAAATGTTCAAAAGCTCAAAAATCTTCCTGGAAAAGCAGCAAGTAAGAGCACTGTGACACAAGGGATAAGGAAGGAAGTGGTTACTCAAACTCCAGCACCAGTCACACAATACTGAAGCAATCTTGTCCAAGAATCAAATTAAATCCTCTGCCCAAGGTCAAAAACCCATGACAAGGCAGATGGAGAAGCTCAAGTCTCTCTCCAAGCGAGTGAGTCACCCCAGCAGCAGAGCCTTGGGATGCAGGAACACACTTCCCATCCCTGGAAATCATCAAGCCATTCCCAGGGCCTGATTTCCCCCAAACTCCAATCCAAGGCTGCCTGTGCCAGCTGAACACAGACAGAGCAGTTCTGAGATTGCAGAGTCCCTACAAAGCCTGATCTGTACAAGAGGAACCTGCCAAGCCCCAAGGGAGCAGGCTCCAAGCACAGGGCACAGGGAAGGAGCAGAGCTCCAGTGACACAGCGATGCCCTGAGGGTCAGCTTGGGATGCTGAGAACCAAAACCAACACTTCTGCTCCCTGGGCACTTGGTGGGACAGCTCAGGGTGCTGGGACTCATAATGAGACACAAAATGACTGAATGGATGTGGGATCTCAGGATCTGAGTCCTGAGGTGCCGAGTCACCGAGAGCACCCTTGGGGGGCTCGGGAGTCCTGGAATGTTCCAGAAGTGTCTGGTGGCTGCACTTTGATCCTACACAGGAGACGACACCTGTATGAGGATAGGAGGGTTTCACCGGGGTGAATGGTGAAGGGATGAGTTAATTAGAGAGTGAAACACAGGGTTTAGGATTTCTGTACAGGGGGGTTTAGAGAAGTAAGATGGAGGAATTGGGGCGTGTCCTGTTCTTCTTCTTCTTCTTCTTCTTCTTCTCCTCCATCTTCTATGGTGATGGTGGCACTTTTGGATTGGTCATTACTAAAAGTGCACCGGGCAATAAGGGTAAAAGGTATTGGGGAAAAATGATAAATATTGTACACGTAACTTTGGGTATAAAGATAGGTGACCGCCCGGAGGGCAGCACAGTGTGCTCATGGCTGGCTGCTGAGCAGAGCTCTGTCGGGCCAGAGAAAATCTTTTAGATAAACAATTAATAAACATAAAAACAGAAAGAAGAACTGAAGCCTCTTCTCGTCCTTTGATACGCGGGCTGCCCCAAGGCCACTCCGGGCCTTTCCAGGCCCTTCAAACAGCCGAAAACCGGACAAATGGAGACCAAGCCAAAGAGGATTCAGTCCCCACAACTCAGAATTACTGATGTGGGAGCTGGGATTGTCCATCTTCCTGTTTTTTCTGATGGGTTGCAGCTATTTGTTACTGCTGACAACTCCCTGGAGGTACCTGGATGCTGGTCTGTTCTGAGCCTGCCTTAAAGGAACATGAGGATGGACAGAAATCCTCTGGCTAGAGCTCCTCTCAATGCCACACAGATTTCTGCTTAAAACTTTCTCTGTCACTCAACAACTCCTGCATAAGATCACACTTCCTCTTCATAACAAGGAGAATCCATGTGTTCCCCCCAAGGCATCTATTTCCTGATTTCAGTTCAGAATTAGAACCACTACACCACCACAAACCAGCAACAGACAAGGGACAAGGAAATAACTTCAACTTTATTTAATCTACATTTAGAATACATAAATTGTAAGAGCCTCTTTCAAAACCCATCTGAGCTGCCAAATGCATGAGAAAGGGCTTTAATATATTCCTTGTCATGCTGCTTTGGTGGGTAAGGCACTCCCAAAAGTCAGGAATCAAATGTGTGAGGTAAATAGGAGAGGCAAATACACAGCTGAGCCTTTTTATACATCCTTCACAGTCAGCTCTGGCTTGAAATGCAGTGAAAGGAAAGCAAATTGCTCCAATTTTCATCCATCCATTGAAGGAATTCATGCTGACAGGCAGACACACAGAGATTTTCCTTTAAGGTATTTTACCCCACTCAGGTTTTCCAGGAACAACCCTTACCTAGGAATATCTTTTGATACTTGAAGCCAATATACCAAAAGTCAATAAAAAATGATAAAATGTATTATCATCCCAGCTACTGACCCGCCCACCAGCCCTCCCCCAGCAGGATCTGTCACACAAACCTGTGGATGAGGTTGGTCAGGGGCTCAATCAGTTTCTTTCCCAGTCTTGGTTCTAATGGAGTAAGAGCACCAAACTATTCAATAAGAAGAAAAGTCAGTTAATAGCTGCTTTTCAACAGCTTCAAAACATTATGTAAATTACAGCTCACTGTATTTAAACCAAGCTATATTAACATATTTTTCTCTTTGGTTACATTCAAACATTAGAAGATATTCCTGGTTTCTTTTTATTCAGATTGAATGGTAACTATGCCTCCCAGCAAGAAATCCATTTTCACACCCAAGGTAATTTAATGAGAACTCTAATCCTGTAAACAAGAAGCAGAATACTTGCCAGTTTTATAATTTTAATGAGAACCCAATTATTGGTTGACGACGTCATCAGCTTGAAGAAGAGGGGAGCAAGGGAAAGGTAATTTTTGGGATTGCGTCGAGCCAGCTCACAAATGACATTGACTGCAGCAGACTGCACACCTGGCAAAACAGGAGGAGAAGCACAAATCTCATCAGTGCCTTGAAGGTTCTGGTGCACAACTCCCACAGCAAAAGCAGCTCAAGCTTCAGACCTGGGTGTGCAATGGTTTGGCCTCATTCCCAAGCCTGAGGCAGTAAATACAGGCATGCAAAAACTGAGAAAGGGTTTTATTGAATTCTGGCTGTTTTCTAATAGAGCAGCAAGCCAGGTATCTGCTTTGGTCCAGCATGAGAAAAACCAGCACACTGCCACATCCCTGCCCTGGGTGTGGGACACTGACACAATCAATAATCAGCCACCAGAAAGTTTCCAATCACTCCTGACTTCCCTGATATGTCACAGACATCTTCTGTGGAAAATCCTTCCTTTAGGATTTTTCCTTCTTCTGGGAAGCTGAGGCCCCAGAAAGAGAATGCAAACAACAGCTGTCTGCTGCTGTGGAATGTAACAGGTGCACCTGTGATTAGTCCATGTTGCTTGTGCACAATTAAGAAGCAATCAAAGACAAGCTTTCTCTGAGACAGTATCAGAGAGAACTCCCTTGTTTATTGATTCCTATTCAATTCTTAGCTTAGCAGCTTCTGAACTTCTCTCTCTATTCCTTTTAGTATAGTCATAATGTAACATATATCATAAATTAATAAATCCAGCTTTCTGATCATAGAGTCAAGATTCTCATCTATCTCTCTCACCCTGAAAGACCCTTGCAAGCCCAATAACATATGTATTATTTAAAAATGTTTCAATACAAAACAGAAATAATTCCTTAAGCAATCTGACTGGACATGATCACTCCCTTCTCATTGCTCAGCCCCTGACAGGGGATGTTGTCAGTTTGGAATGTTTTAGTCTAGACAGGCTGGGGGTCCCAGCACAGAGCAATCCTTCACCAAGTTTAACAGGCAATTTCTTCCTCTCTGCAGGTGAGGGATTTTGCTTTCTTTAATAACATTGTCCCTGGAAGATAAATATTCCATGCCCACAATAAAACAGTTGGGAAATGCAATTAATTGAATTTCTCCCTATAATTGCAGATACAAATCAAGTGGAGATCAAATACACACCACACACAGAATTCCTAAAACAAGTGTTTGGTGCAGTGAGGGAACACCAGCATCTCCTAAAGACTGAGCAAAAATGTGAATATGATACTGAGCAATTGCAGACTTCCTGTGCTGCACTGACAACAATACTGAGGGGCCCAAAGAGAAGTCTGGACCCAAATAAATAAAAAATACACTTAGGAATGCTAAATAATTTTAAGGGTGTTCACTGCAAGTCAACAGTTGCAGCTTGCTAAAAAGGCACAAGTAGTAACAAAATCAGAATCCCAGACCCCGAAATCAACTGAAATATTTTCAATAGCCAAGTTCAGTAAGCACAAATCAGCAAATTTTAAGCTGCTTTGTCCATTAAGGTTTAACCCACTGATATACTTTCAGTAGCTATGGGTTTGAAGAAATGGACATTTTAAAGAACTTATTTTTAATATGGCAATACCCATCAAAACTCTCCTATGCTCACCTACCCTCAGCCAGGGGAGTCAGTGCCCAGAAGATGGTTACAGCATTTTTCATGCACTCTTTTCTCCACCAGCTCTACAAGCACATGGATGCCCACGTGTGAGAGCAGAAGGAATTCACCAAAATCCACTCACCAGGATCTGGATCTTCAAGTTTCTCTTTAAGGCGAGGAAATGCAGGACGGAGGGACTCAGGGTACTTCAAAAAAACTTTGTACATGATTAACACTGCCTTCTTCCTGATGTAAGGCTTTGTGTGAGACATCTGGGAAGGAAACAACTGCAGTCAGGCTCTGAGCACATCTGGGAGCCCCTGGGCTCACACTGCTCTCACCAAGCTCTTCCTGCTCTTTAAAAACTCAGCTTTGAGGCAAGAGCAAAATATTGCTGTTTATCACCAAAACTAATGAATGTATTTCAAAGTGATCCTCTAGATCTAACTAAGGTCTGTAAAAGCTCCCCAGAACCCCCACAAGAATGAAGCAGCAGGTTTCACGTTCTAAATTTATCAGTTCAGTTCTAAATTTAAGATATTTACCAGATTTGAATAACTTAACATGATAAAATTTTAAAGTAAAGTTATTTCAGCCTTATGAACTCACCAATGTCATGATGTCATTTGCCAAGTCCCTGGCAAGATCTGGAGTAACAAAACAGGACAAGCCAGTCAGTGCAACTCCAGTATCATACTGGTTAGGGCTACTCAGATCCTGAAAAAAGAGAAACACGCTCAAAAATTTAAGATCATACAGAATGTTAAGCAACAACTTCCTCAGAATAATTTTATTTAATCAACATAAATGAAGCTGAGCTTCTTCTTCATGGGAATATTTATCTATCAACTGCTAACAGCTGCTAAACTACAGCCAGCCTGGGGTTTAATAATGGGCACAAAGAACCATAATTAAACAGGAGATGGATGACTGCAACATAAAAGTAATCAGAGTGATCATACCTTGGTGGTGTTTTGGGAATGGAAATAGTTTTGAAACACTCATTACTTATTACAAACATATTATATTACTTATTACAGACATATTTGAAGTGCTAAAAAACTGGTATTAAACACTAACCCTGCTAAGTCCAATTCCAAATGTCATCTTCACTGGGAACAAGCACTCTTGGTGAGTGGAGTTCCACTTTAATCCAGCAGAGAAATGAGATTATTCTTCTCCCAAACTGCTGGCAGCACCACAATTTCCAGTCCACAAAGACAGGACATGAGTTATGTGTGTGGAACACATTTATTGGTCAGGTTCCTTTGGATCTATTTGTAGTCATCCTACCCAGCTCTCCATAATCTTTCAGGTCTTCCTAAGCTTAAGTCCCCCATAGTAAAATTAATTTATGAGTAAGATCAAGTATAGACTATAAATTGTGCATCAGGAAACACAAACATGAAGGAGCTGCACAGAGCATTCCCACATGGACTGCTGAATTAAGAGCCCAGATTCACATGGATACTGAAGCTGCAGGAGAGCTAAACATAGTCAGGCCTTTGGGGTTCTGTGCCATTTACATCTCATTTAAAAACCTGCTGCAGGTGGTGGGAAATTAGAGTCTACTTTAAGAATAATGCAATCTATTTCTTAAGGAGCAAAAAACTGCAATTCATCCTGGCTCTAGTGTATTTTTAGAACTGATAAATCCTTCAAATCTCAAGTTGTCGGATCAATGAAACATGAAAAGGCATGAAGAGATTTTTATCTTTTATGTAAAAACTTGGCACAAAGTGGAAATGGCCAGTAAGTGACTGAAATTCAGTAAAATAAAGAGTCCATAATGAAGACAATAGATATTCCCATTCAGCACAGAGTAGTTCAAAAGATAAAGGGAAAAGCACCAGTTCTTTAGGAAGATACTGGCTAACATCCCACTGCTCTTTTTTAAGCAACGAAAACACATTTTGGTTCCTCAGATGGTAAACATGTAGGCAGATCTTGCACTGGATCAGTCAAGTTTTAAAGCACTGATACTTAAAAAATGAAAGTCAAGAGCTTAAAAAATATCTGTAACTTCAAGAATGGGAAAACTGTGCTGCAAACCAGTAACTCCAAGTGATCAAACTCTATGAAAGTGAAAACATTCGTGGGTACATAAATACACAACAAAACTTTCCAAACTTTCCTCACCATTTTTACACCCAATTCTGCCAGAGAAGTCAAAGTCTGACGTGGAATTACAGACAAAAAGATCCCTCACAAGTAGAAGTGCTGTGGAGCCATGTCACTCCTGAGCCACTGCTCATTTTACTTCAGCAATGGGGACATTTTCCTGCCTGTTACACTCTTACAAGCACTGCCTAGAGACCAGCAAAGTTATTTCTGACTCCATTCTCTGTGCTGAACAAACACAGAGCTGGTTTGAGACAGCACAGGGAGGGATGTGCACAGCTCCTGAGTGTTTCATGAATCCCTCTGCTTGTGGAATGACAGGAGACTGCAAATCAAGAACTCTACTGCAACACCTCTGTATTCCTCATGGAGAAATACTCAGTACAGATGGGAGAGTGCAAGAAGAAATGAAGAACTGAACATTTACCTTTCTGATCTGATTAGTTGTCAGCATGATGACATCAGTCCCTTCATGAAAGCACTGGGAGGCAGCCAGGTAACCAATGCGCTGGGAAAGGCAAGGAGGAACACAAGGTTTGGTTTCCAAGTCAATTTAGACAATGTTTAGGTGGAAAACAACTGGTGGTTTTATAAGCAATATTCAAAAGGTGAATGAGTAGGTTTTATAAGCAATATTCAAAAGGTGAATGAGTAGGTTTTATAAGCAATATTCAAAAGGTGAATGAGTAGGTGAGGAAAATCCCCCCTAGAAAAGGGGGTTTACATCAAAAAAGAGAAAATTCAGACAAGTAATTTTCTACTGATCATTTATCTGTCTTAGGGATAATAAAACCACCTTCACCTTCCCTATTTTATTACAACACAGTTCACAGACCACAAAGCTGCAGAAATAAGGTAGAATTGGCTACCACATTTATTTTGTCTGTGTTGACTCCTGAGTTTCAGGTATCAAGCCCCATTAGGGAATAATTTCTTAGGAAGCAACATTCCACCATGTTTGGTGAGAAAGGTCCGCAACAGAACATAAAATAAATCTCTCAAGAAAAATTATAAAGCTATTAGAGAACAAAAAATGCTTGGTACTAAGAATCTCAGGTGGCTTTCACATAAAATTACCCTGGCTTTTCACAAAGGGTATCTGACAGCTTGGCCAGGACAGCTGCATTTACAGAGAACTCACCTTGAATGTAAACTTGGAAGCACTCATAACTTCAATAATGTTGAAAGCAGCCCAACTGATGTCATAGCCCAGCATCTGTAACTGTGAGCAGAGAAGCCAAGATAAACTTGTGAAATAAAGAGACTCAAGGAAATAGGTCAAGACAAGTCCCAAAATTGAACATGCAACAGGAGTCTGAAAATGACACTGCAGGCATCACAGGTTTATGAGCAATGCACCACTCACCACTGCACCACCCACAGAAAGTGAAAGACATCACAAGTTTCCAACAGTTTGCATCAGTTCCAGGCTGCCCAGAGCAGCTGGGGCTGCCCCTGGATCCCTGGCAGTGCCCAAGGTGAAGCTGGATGGGGGTTGGAGCACCCTGGACAGGGGAAGGTGTCCCTGCCATGGCAGGAGGATGAGCTTTAAGGTCTCCTCAAATCCAAATCATTCTGTGATTCTATGATCTGCAGTTATATAAGCACTGGTGTGATGGGTTTTCTTCCTGATTTTCTTTTAATAAAAACCATAACAGAACCACAAAAAAATCTTTACCAAAATTTCTGTCTCCTTGTCAATAGAGGACTGAGCAAAGAGAAACAAACCCAGTTTCAAGTGCTCATGTCACTATGTCGTAAGAACCAATCCAGCTGAAAGCAATTTCTTTTAACTTGTTTGCTTTAAATGAGATTCATTTCCTGCCCCATGACAATTAAATCCAGTTGTAGCAAACAGAGCAGGAACTGCAGCCTCTGACATCAGAGCTGGGACAGCAACATCCCCACAGGCTGCACTTAGAGCAGGGGAGGCAGAGCAGGCACCAGAGCCAGGGCTGGAAATCCAAAATCAGCAGGAAAGAACAAAATGCAGCTGCAGCTGCAGGGGAGCCCACAGGCACTCACATAGGTCAGTTTGCAGACTGCGTTTGCCTTCACTGCGATGTTGTCCTGCTTCAGCTCCTGCTTGATCTCGTCGATGCACTGAGAGATGTACTTTGCCTGAGGAAAGCAAACAAAAATTTGAGCTCCTCCACCAGTTTCTCAAGTTTCCAGCACGTTAGTGGGGAGAAGCATCAATCTCACACACACAATTTAGTAAGCACTTAATTCTGACAAAATTACTCATTAAAAAAACCACCACAATTCTGTTACAAAACCAAAAGTACGAGACGTCTCTTTGGTGGTTGTCCCTTCTGCCTCTCCCTCACAATTCCACCACTCACTCCAAAGCTCCAGATTCAAAAATCTGCAATCATGAAGTTGTTCAATGGATGTTG